AGTCTCTATGTGATGCTGTGGCTCCACAGGAAACACCTGACGTGGAAGACGGTGTGGTTACTAAGTCTCTATGTGATGCTGTGGCTACACAGGAAACACCCAACGTTGAAAAGGTTGTGTTCTCTCAGTCTCTATGTGATGCTGTGGCTACAAAGGAAACACCCAACGTTGAAGACAGTGTGGTCACTGAGTCTCTATGTGATGCTGTGGCTACACAGGAAACACCCAGCGTTGAAGACGTTGTGATCACTGAGTCTCTATGTGTTGCTGTGGTTACACAGGAAACACCCAACGTTGAAGACGGTGTTGTCACTGAGTCTCCATGTGATGCTCTGAGTGAAGGGAGTGAGATCAGTTCCTCCACAGGCAATGTCAGTGTGGCCTCAGAACCTTTAGTGGGAATGCTTGCATTTTCTGAGGATGATATCAATGTGCCTGTTGACAAGGTTTCTTCGCTGGCTGCACATGAGGCTGCCGAATGCTTTACTCAAGATGGGTCAACTAACATCAATGCAGGTGAGATCAGTGCACCCGTCCATGATGTCAGTGCAGTGTCAGCAGTGAGAGAGTTCTCTGAGGGTAATACTTCTCTACCTATGGAAACTTATTTTTTGTCTTTTTACACTGAATATACACGGGTCATCTGAAACCATTGACATAGAAATAATTTTTTGTAGCTTCTTTAATAATAGCTGTCGATGGTATCGATGGGGGTAAGATCGCCTCCCACAAATGATTTCAGTGCAACCTGCAGATATGGATTAAATCTTATGGGTTAACTAAATCAAACTGTTTATGGCAATGGGATGTTCATGGGCTGGCTAAAGCGTTGGTTTCAGGAAAAGCAACTTACATTTATGAGCTTGAGATCACTGGATCTTCAAATGATGACTGTGAAACCTCAAATCTTTTAGTGGCAGTTTGAGAGAGCTCTTGCGATAATAAATTTCGTTTTAACGTCTGAGGACTGTTCCACTGAGGTCGTGGCAAGAGGTTAAGCATTTAACATGAATGAGAGTGAGATCAGTACGTCGACAGATTTTTTGCTTCCTGCCAGTTGGGATTTTCAACTTTGGCATGTTCAACTTGAATTATTGGTTTCTGAAATTTAATTATTTGGATCCATTAGCCGTTGGCTATAAGTACTGAAAAAGGGTAAACAAAGGTTATTTATTTTTAATTTATAGCATTTTAATCCTGATTTTGTTATCGACAGTGGAAGGAAGCTTCACCAATAAAAGCTTAAGATCAAGGAAACGAAGGAGCAGCTCTGACAACTCCATCGAGTCTTGTGCACAGCGCAGCAGGAACTGCTCTGAAATCTGGGAGCCCCTGAGAAAATCAAGACGGTTGTCGGAGAACACTGCTAACCTTTGTCAGAGGGAAACTTCAGAACCTGATGAGGTCAATGCCACAGGCGAAACAATGGAGTCCTCTGAGGAGGATGTGACTCTGCCTGTGGAAAAGCGTCCCCCACTGGATCTGTGTGAGTTAACTGAAGGAGTAGCTGGAGAAGAAACAACAGCCTTGAATGAGAGTGAGATCAATACATCCACATGCAACGTCACTGCAGCTTCAGAACTTGCAACGGCAGAGGAAACGTCCTCTGAGGACAATGCGACTGTGCCTATGAAAAAGCGTTCCTACCTGGATCTGCGTGAGTTAACTGGAGGAGTAGATAGAGTTGACACAACTGTCACTGATGCAATTGAGATCACTACATCCACAGGTAACGTCACTGCAGCTTCAGAACTTGCAACGGCAGAGGAAACGTCCTCTGAGGACAATGCGACTGTGCCTATGAAAAAGCGTTCTTACCTGGATCTGCGTGAGTTAACTGGAGGAGTAGATAGAGTTGACACAACTGTCACTGATGCAATTGAGATCACTACATCCACAGGCAACGTCACTGCAGCTTCAGAACTTCCAACGGCAGAGGAAAAGTCCTCTGGGATTAACATCACTCTACCTTTGGAGAAGTGCTCCGCTCTGGAGGTACTCAAGTCAAGTGACGTCTGGCGTACAGGGGAATCACGGAACGTTTATGAAGGTGAGATCACGGCATCCAGCCACAATGTCATTACAGGCCAAGACCTTTTTATTGCCACGGACGAGTACTTTGAGGGTAATATCACTCTGCCTATGGAAAAGGTTTCCTTAGTGGATGAAGCTGACCATGCTGAAGCCAGTGCAACGGACGGAACAAGCAGCAAGGATGAGATTGAGATCGCTGCATCAATAAATGATGTCAGTGCAGCTCCACAAGGTTTCTTTGGAGTTGACGGGTCTGGTGAAGATATCACTCTGCCTGTGGAAAAGGTTTCCTCACTGGATGTACTCAAGCCTGCTGAAGCCATTGCGACTGACGAAACACCTATCACTGATGAGAGTGAAGTCACTTCGTCCATACATGGTTTCAGTGCAGCCTCAGAAGTTTTAATGGTAGGGGAAACGTTCTCCGAGGCTTATATCACTCTGCCCGTGGAAAAGCTTTCCTTACTCGAAGTACATGGGCCAGTAGAGGTTGTGGCTACAGGAGAAACTACTACCCTTGATGAGGTTGAGATCACTGCCTGCGCATATGATGGCAGTGTCATCACAGCAGAGAAAGCTTTGTCCCAGGATACCACCCTTCCTGTGGAGAACATTGCCTCGCTAGAAGTACACCAGCCAACTAAGGCCGTCGCCACAGAGGAAACAACGAACTTTGACGAGGATAAGATTGCTGCAACCACATGTGATGGCACTCCGGCAGTGCAAGAGCACTTTCCGGATAAAACCACCCTGCCTGCGGAAAAGATTTCATCACTGGAGGTACACGAGACAACTAAGGCCGTCGTCACAGAGGAGACAACTAACTTTGACGACGAGAAGATTACTCCAACCACATGTGATGGCATTCCGGCAGTGCAAGGGCGCTCTCAGGATAAGATCACTGTGCCTGTAGAAAAGGTTTCCTCACTGGATGTACACGAGGCAGCCAACGCTGTGGCTGCAAAAGAAGCAATTACCTCTGATGACAGTAAGATTACTGCCTACAATTATGACGTCAATGCAACTTGTAAGCATTTAGTGATATCTTTGGTTCCATTAAGTGCTTGCAGGTTTCATTGCGATACATGTGTTGTTTCTCTCTTATTCTATTTCCTTGACAGCCGAGTTTTAGTGAGCTAAAGCAATGGCGACGGCAACCCCGACCCCGAGGACAACGCCCAGTAAAAAATGAGTTTATATTTTACCTTTGAATTTCGCAATTTTTTTTTTCGTGCACCTATTGGTTTCAAAAATTGCTCAAACGTCAGCGTTCAAATCCAAATGAAAATACGAAAAAATTGCTGCTGTCGTTCGCGTTCTCCAAAATACGCAGAGCTTGGCTATTTCATGTTGTTGTTGTGCAGAGGACGGCAAAGAACTATACAAAGATTTATAACGGACTCGCACAGCCATTGTCCTACTCATTAAACCTTTAGTTTGGTGGCGTTCTTGTTGCCGGTGCAGTCGTCACTGACGTGGTTTGCTTAAGCTCTCTATTAAGTTTAAGGACATTGAAGTTCGAGTTTAAAGTTGCATGGGATTTTTGAGAGCGAGTACAAATAGATCGATTTTTTTATTATGTCAACTGTAAAGTGGCTGGCAGCACCTTGATGTTGCGACCGAGCTATTATAATGAAGTGTTTGGAATTTCAGTCCTATATAGTTGAACAAGATATGCTCTCATATGCTCTCATAACTTAACTGGGTACCAAATTAGCTTTTTGATATCACTTTCATTGTCACCAGTGGAGAGGAGCTTGTCCAGGAGAACCTTAAGGAAACGGAAGCGAGCCTCTGAAACAGCCAGTGAGGGGTATGGACACGCCAGCACGAGCTGCTCTGTGCACAAAGATGTCGGCGAACCAGCAAGGAAATCAAAGCGCTGCCTGCTGAACAGTGGAGCTGACACAGCTGCCTCTACCTCCAAGGCTACCACTGCACCAGCCGTCCTGTCTGAAGGAGCTGACGCTGCAGCCACAGAAACGGCTGACAATGATGTAAGTGTGTTCACTGCATTTACATCCACCTGCCAGGAATAGGCCATTTTACAGTTGTGTGATCAGTTACGTGGCCTTTGAATGCAAGCGAGGCTGGAGGTGACCTTGGTTTGATACAGACCTCTCTGCTTTCCTCATTGAAATGCCAACTAGTTAGCATAAGAACAACTTGATTTACACAACAAAAGCAGTGAGGTCTGTATCAAAACAAAGTCACCTTCAGCCTCGCTGCCATTCAGAGGCCAGGTCACTGAGCAGACAACTGTAAAATGGTCTATTATTGATCACACTGAATTGTCCTTGTTTATGCTGTCAGCTCTGATGTTGTTAATATAATGAAACTACTAATTACGTGAGAGTTGGATCTTTACGGAAAATCTCAAACCGATCGCTTGGTTAATACGACAAGTCCGAGGTTTGAGATTTTCCCGTAAGACCGAACGTTCGAGGTTGATAAGTTGTTTATGATAAGGCATTTCGCTCCTGGAGGCCCACAGTCGGCACGTAGGCATTATGGGAGAGCAACGCCCTAGAATTAGTCAATCAGAGCGCGCGTTATTTTGGCCACAAACACAATCCATATCATGATTATTGTTATCATTGTTATCTTCACCGACATTAATCAAGTTATAATTTTTTTTTGGCAATTATTAGACGATCAAAATCAAAGCCGAGGGTATCCCAGCTCCAAACTCTGGTGCAGAGAGTCCAGTCACCATGGGGTACGTGCATTACTACCTGAGCACGGCTTATCAGCTCTTGTGTGGTGCCATGAAGCGAGACCCAGCTGGTACCCTTCCCGCCGTGGAAAGCGTCATCCAGCAGTCTCAGGTAAGAAGAGCAGTTATGGTTGGTTGTTATGGGTGAGAGTAATTCTGACAAGAACTGTTGTTGTTGACTGACGTTTCGCCAACCTGAGCCAAAGTCATCTTCAGACTCAAGTGAATAGTGTTTGTCAGTCGATGGTGTTATAAGTCTGGTCCGTTAGAAAGTAAATGGTCAGTTTAGCCGTGATGATATATATTGCTTGAAATACTCGTGTAAAGTTTGTCAGCAGTCAGATTGACCGCTTTTTGTAAGTTTCAATCCGTCTATTGTTAGTCAAATTAAGTTGGTCTGTTTGACGTCCGTTTCTCTGTTTTGTTTATGTCGTGAATAAGTCGTTTGTAAGGTGCCGGTGGTCGTTTTCTTGTGTAAAGGACGGTAGTCCTCACCCCTCTCAAAAGTGAACTAGCAGAATACATGCGTCTAGATATATTTTTATGATTCACTATTATATTATTATGATTAACGTTTTCGTTATTGCTCAGTGTGTAGTTTCCAGCACATTTTGCATTTTCACGTACCCTCACATTTTCATTTTCTTGTATTACAGGAGGCTACCGCGGCAGAGCCCCCCGCGGCAGAGCCCCCCCAAAACAGCACGGCACGTCGAAGACGAGTACGACAAGTCTGGAATGGGGAAACGTTTGTTCCCAAAGTACGTGAAAACTAACGATTATCACTGTTAAATGGTTAATTTACACTGTTGAATGTGTACTTATTGAACTTATTGAACTACCTAAATAGTGGAAAAAATGGAGTTTTCTTAGTATTTCTAGGAAGCACATCTTTAGACTAGCAAGCAACTTTAATGAAGGGACACAACAGTTGGGCATGCATAAATCGAGTGTGTTTTTTTAATGAAGAGACATAACGATTGGGCATGCTTTGAATTTTTCCTTTCTATTTTCTGCAGATAATATTTTTGAAGTTCTAAATCAATTCTGCTGACTTGGCTTTGTTTATGTTATAGGCACAGGGACGGGAGCAAGCGCAACCCTATCTCCGTCGGCGACGCCCACGGAGAAAGTGAGACGGCACTCTATAAGTGTCGTCTCTTTTTTTTTTTTTCCTCCTGATTTGTTAAAAGCAACACGTGTATACTTGGTGAGCGGGTCAAAAATATTTTAAAACAAAGTTAAAAAAAGCACAAACAAAATTCAAAATTTAAAAAAACAAACCCTTCTTCCCCCAGAAGGAGGGTTTCGACTNGATTGAGAAGATATATCAAACATTCAAGACAGTTCCATTGTTGTTGGACAACAACCAACGATTATTCAAGACAGTGTTTAACGACATTTCCAAACACCTCAACGTTGGTCAAAAATAATCTGCTGCGCGTCGTATTTTCGACTCTCTTCTCGATGTTTGGAAATGTGGTCGAACACGGTCTTTCGCGTTTGATATATTACATAATGAAGTGTTTGGAATTTCAGTCCTATATAGTTGAACAAGATATGCTCTCATATGCTGTCCTAACTTAACTTGGCACTAAATTAGCTTTTTGATATCACTTTATTTATCAGCAGTGGAGAGGAGCTTGTCCAGTAGAACCTTAAGGAAACGGAAGCGAGCCTCTGAAATAGCCAGTGAGGTTTCTGGCCATGCCAGCAGGAGCTGCTCTGTGCACAAAGATTTCGGCGAGCCAGCAAGGAAATCAAAGCGCTGTTTGCTGAACAGTGGAGCTGATACAGCTGCCTGTACCTCCAAGGCTACCACTGCACCAGCCGTCCTGTCTGAAGGAGCTGAAGCTGGAACCACAGAAACGGCTGACAATGACGTAAGTGTGTTCACTGCATTTACATCCATCTCCCCAAAATAGGTCATTTTACAGTTGTTTGCTCAGTTACTTGACCTTTGAATGCAAGCGAGGCTGGACCTGACCTTGCTTTGAAACAGACCTCTCTGCTTTTCTCATTCAAATGCCAACTTGTTAGCATGAGAGCAACTTGATTTACACAACAAACACAGTGAGGTCTGTATCAAAACAAGGTCACCTGCAGCTTCGCTGCCATTCAGAGGCCAGGTCACGGAGCAAACGACTGTAAAACGGTCTATTATTGATCACAATGAATTGTCCTTGTTTATGCTGTCAGCTCTGATGTTGTTAACATAAAACTAATTATGTGAAATCGCAAACCGATCGCTCGGTCAATACGAGATCCGAGGTTTGAGATTTTCCCGTAAAGACCGAACGTTCGAGGTTAATAAGTTGTTTATGATCAGGCATTTTGTTCCTGCAGGCCCACAATCGGCCCGTGGGCATTACGAGAGAGGAATGCCCTAGAATTAGCCAATCAGAGTGCGCGTTATTTCGGTCACAAAAACAATCCATATCATAATTATTATTATTATTGTTGTCTTCACCGACAATAATCAAA